CTGGGCACCATCAGCTTTCTTTGCCACATTTGCTTATGCACCCATTTGTCTTCAGCGATCATATCAGGGAGGTGAGCATACAATGATATGATTTTTTTGTTCTTTGATTCCTGATACCTGATCCCTTCAGTGCCTCATGAATACTCAGGCTGGTGTGCTTCTTCCATATGGGCTTTGTTGCTTCTGAGCTAGATGGACACTTGTTTACCTCTACGCCTTTAAGACCCCAGATGCTATATCTTTTGATAGCGGGGTACCATCAGCTTTCTTTCTTCACAACATTTGCTTATGCTTTGTCTTCAGTGATCGTGTCAGGAAGGTGAGCATCATGGAATGCCAGTTTAATAGAACAAAATGTTCTTGCATTGAGGGAGTACTTGAGTGGAAGACCAATGTCCACCTGCTACCTTAATATTAAACCTATAAATATATGCACATAGGTCTATTTCCCCATCATATCTAAATATATTTACATCTGAACATGCCTGTAATTAGACCTCTATAAATACTCTTTGCCTCCTAGTTCTTTCCTCTCTTTCCTTTTACTTTCCTCTTGTCCTGACTGTATAAACTTTTTAAGGACAGGGTCCTACTTTCCTCTTGTCCTGACTGTATAAACTTTTTAAGGACAGTGGTCCTGACCACTGTTTGCAAATGTGTTTACGGAAATCCAGGTCCATACATTATGGGGAACTGGAAAAATTATTTGCTGAATATTCTCCAATATTTATAGACTCCCAAGAATCCTTGCCTCGACCACAGAGCTGCTGTAGGATAGAGAGTTTCAAGATACTCTGAGTGTCATGAAGACACTGATGGAGGGAGTTGGAACGGCAAACAAATACTTAGAAAACCTGTGATTTAAATGTTGTCTGTTCAGTATCTTAGGACCCTCAATATCACTGACCAAATTTGACATTTATTTGACAGAAATTAGGGAGTTCTAGAATATCAAGTGCTGGTGAGGATAATAATCAGCACATCATCACTTCAATTCTTAATGAGAGATATACATTGATTTTGCCACTTCAGAAACTAGCTAGACTGGTGAGATAAAACACTGTATTAAGACAAAAGAGTAATACATTTTATTTTTCTATGATTCAATGAACCATCTGCAGATTGGGGCAATGGTATCTCCTGCAGGAAGAAGATGCTTCCAGTGAGGGGACTTAGAGAATCAGAATTGACTCGGTGGCAGTCAGTTTGGGGTAAATTATTATGAACACATGTGTCCATGGTGACCAAGTCCTTAACAATTATTGATCTAGTATTAAAAGCCCTGGATACTTACATGTTTGTAACTATGCTGAGTTTAGGGACAGTACACAGCCGTTTTCTTTCAATCCACAAGACAATGGGCTCATGATTGATCAGTCTCTGAGACTGAAGAGACAAGTTAACGCTGCTGCAAAATAGACGAGCAATTCCTTGTAGGGAAAAAAGTTCATAGTTCTACAATTCTGGGTCAGGGTGAGCTGTTAAATTGTATTGCACAGATGTGACCTTGTAAATGTGAGCACGCACATTTCCTTTGACTTGGCAATTCTTCTAATAGTCTCCCTAGGAGAAAGGGCTTCCCGTATGGACAGTAGATTGTGAGAGACAGGCGATAGTAGCCTCCTCGGCAACAACAATAGTTACAGAAAGAACCTGAAGGCCTGTTGTCAAGAAAACAGATAATTTGTGGAGCAGAAGTTTATGAAGCTATGAAAAATTACTGAATTAACTACATATAAAAATCTGGGGAAAAAATCTGGATGAATCTCAGTAACATGATCTCGATGGAAAACAAGCAAAATAACAAAGATGGCATGAAGATGTCCTTGTAGTAAGTTCATAAAAAGTTACACCTCAACCGTTATTAAGAACAATAGCAACAAAGCGAGAAACTGGCAGACCCAGTGCTTATTACTGTGAAAGGGCAAGAGGAAGTGAAAGGCAAGTCACTGTGCTCTGGGTTCTTGGGTTGATGGTGATGTGTTTAGCATGACACAGCCGCTTTAACATTATGATTATATTTTTCCCCTCCCCATGGAAAGAAACCTTCTAGGAAACAGGCCCACAGTCAACTCTTAGGGACTACAGCCAAGGGAATGCACACTGGTTTTTATATTCCCGCTACTTGTGTAGAATGTCTAGCAACAAACAAACAAACAAACATAAACAATCCCACAGTAAGGTTTCTTGAGAATGAATGAATGAATCCATAAAGTTTTTTGGTTATTGTTAAGTGTAGTCTGAATAGATATTGACCCTCAAACTTTGACGCTCCAAATAAACAGAATTATGTAACTGATTTCTAACTGGTTTAAAATGTGAAAATCACTAACATTCTCCCAAAGTGGTGAACAATCACCTAACCTTCTTCCAGGTAGTATAATCTCTAGTAGCCAGTACTATTCAGCTGTGTTGGGGTAAAATGGTGCTGAATCAAACACTGCACAGAAGAAGATTTGTTATTACACTTGATTTTGCCCCACTAGGAATGAGAGCTTCAGAAAACAGCCACATTGCAGCATCTTTACGGATGGCATTTTTGGCTGTCTTACAGAATTAGATTCGAGCCTCCTGTGTTTTTCGTCAACAGATTAGTAGGAGATTATTCCTATAACAAAACCTTTTTCTTAGCAGAGAATAAGCACTAATATGTCCTATAAAACAGGAAAAGTTGAAATCCAAAAGCCAGTGTTTTTCAAACAATTAACCTTTATTGGAGGCCATACTCCCACCTATTTTCATACTAAAAATTTCAACAGTAAGTTAGCGTTTTGACTCCGCCTAATTAAAAAACACTGGTCAGTACATAGATGAGTGCATCTTACAGTACCATGTGCGACTGTTGACGAGGGGCTCCGTTTTGGTACCCTGCACATTTGCCCTCAAGTATGAACCTGAGGAAGCACACCTTACACTCAAAATTCTCCCTTAAATGAGGAAAACCATGGCCAATGACATCAGTATACTGTAACCAATCAGCACAGTTGAAATATTCTAGACTGATAATCTGATTATTTACAATCAACACGAAACAGGATTAAAGCTACATGGAAAAGAATCCATCTCAGCAGTTCTAAATGAGCCTTGAAAACCATATTTTCACAGCATATTTGAAAGGAAGGAGTTATTTGGAACTATGCGAGTCCAACTTGAGCAGAAAGTCGTGAAGTTTTAAAATACTATTTCCACACCACTCCCTCCCTTGTGTATGATGGTGTGAAGTAGACCACAGCTCACGTCCTCAGAGCCAGTATCTTCCCTGAATTACCAGCTCTTTCTCAACTAACCCCCTCATCAACTGACACAACTGTGTGACAGAGATTAATAACACAACATCTGGCAAAGGTGTCATACCTAACAGCAATTTCATTTGTCTTTCTACAGCCGAATTAACAAACTTGACTTTGCACCAATAATACTGAGCTAATTTTGAAACAAAACAACTTCCAGCACCACAGATACATAATCACATCACACAAACATGTCAACAACCAAAAGACTTTTTGAAGGGAGCAGAGAGAGCCATGGGAGGTTCTCAATAACTGAAGCCTGCACAGTTTTCAGTAACGGAAGCCAAGGCTGTCAACCTTAATGGCAGTAGACAGCCTCAACTTTCTCCCTCAGCATAACCGATGGGCTTGAACCACTGCCCTGGAAGTTAACAGCCTAACACCAAGGCTCCATTCACAGACATTAGGATGTGAGAACCAAGTAGCAAGCAGTTGTCAACCAACACATTCCTGGGCACAGGAAGGCCCATCTCTAAAGGTGTTACACCAAGTTTGAAAGCAGAGTGGGAAGGCCTACAATTGATGGCTGCCTGGCTTCAGTCACAGGACTAACTTCTGCAGGAGTCAACGGAGATCAGGACAGTACTGACCCCCCGAACTCCCACCCTCAAAAAAACCGCCCAGGTTTCTAAGTCGTGGTGGGAGGGGCTGGGGAGGCAGCTGCAACAAAGAGCACACGGGCCTCAGCATTCAACAGACGTGTGCCTATACCCAGAACCCATCACGTGGCAATTCCTGCAGCTGTGTGACCTGTGAACCATCTACACTTGGCTCAGGCGTAGCTCCCACCTCTGAAAAATAAGAGTGCTAACACTTATAACCGTCAAGGGTTGTGATGAAGACGCAAGGCAGGACTAGGTGACCAACTTCGTGACAGAGAACCCGGCACCCAGGATCAACACGCACACCCACGGAGGGGACACAGTCACTCCACTTCAGATTCATGGTGTTCACGCTAGACTTTCCACCTTCTTTCACAAGCCTGTTCTCTGACCAAAGTCATAGAGCAGAACACTCAAATCTGTGTGTGTGTGTGTGTGTGTGTGTGTGTGTCTGTGTGTACACAAAATATAAAATCTTCAGCGTGGCGTGTCTGCTCCACCAGTACCGAGCATATGACGACTGATCCAAAGAAAGGGTTGTGGTAAAAGATTTGGTATTTTATTTTGCAAATGCGTGGCGAGAAAGCAACCTGGTCATTCAGAATTCACTACATGAGATTAACAAAAATTTGGTATTCTGTCTCCTTAATTTGGCACGGTGAGGAATTCCCTCAATACACCAAGCTCCCCAATTCACTCTTTTCGAGACCAAACGATGGGAAACATGCATATATACAAGTGAGTTGAGAAAGTACAACATAATCTGGCGATTTGGGTGAAAAATCATTTCCCCCCCGTCAGCAGCACGTCATGTTGTTAAAACAAGTTACACCAGACAGCTCATAGAACCTCAGGCTGAGAAGGCAATTTCCAGTCAAGATCTTACCCTGTTTGGGCCAAGTTCTAGAATCCTTCACTTAAAAAGGGGGGCACCTGCTAGGGAAACCCTGCTAGCAGGCTTAATTTTGGATCTGTACACCTACAAATGTCTTCTCTGGCATTCAACACATTCAGGAATTACCTTGTGAAAGCGTGGTTGCTGGTTTCTATGTAAACCAATAGGCTCATAAAGAGACAAAGAAAAGGAGGGTAGAGTCTAAAACTGTATCCCCTGATGCACCTTCACCCAAGAACAGCCCAAGGCCTTGGTGTTTTGTTTCCTTTATTATCAACAAAAGTCCTGTTGCAAACATATGCTTAGTAAAAAGTTTTACTAAAGGCAGGATTTAAGAAAAATAATTTTCAGATGGCTTTTTTAGCACTTGAACTTTCTCCAAGATGCTAGTAAACAACCTTTGGGTGCTGCTTCGATTTGCAATTACTCTAGATCATTAGGCAATTCCATGCTGACTTTTGGAAAGAATGCACTTGGGAGTCTATGAAAATTACTCTATCAACTTCCGCAAAGAGGACTGTTTAACATGTTGTTGTTTGGGCTAAGACAGCATTCCAACAACGTTCCACAAATTCATTAAGATCAAAAACAATGAATGAGAAGTACAAGTAGAAATCTAGTAAGGCAATTCTACCACGTAGGAAAACTCTTGTTTCCTAATATTCTGCTACACTGGCACACCAATTTGTTTTGTTTAAGACATGTTACCCGGGTCTTCCACAAACCAAACAGTATGTGAAACGCAAATGAAGATGTGAATGTATGCAGGAACCATAGCCAAAGCCATCCACTGCATGAAGTCTTGTCATTGCAACAGTTTGAACTGTCTGGCTTCAGCCTCCCCCAGGCAGGATGCAGCGAGAGGGAGGAAGGTTGACTGGCTCAGCACTCTAGCTCCTCCATGACTTCCATGACGATTGTGCGGGGCCCCGTCAGGATCAGATTGCTCACCGTCCGGTAGTCGACGTGCAGCACATTGAGTCCATTTACTGAGACGACGAATTGACAGACCTAAAACAAAGACGAAGAGGAAGAGCAGCTATTATAGCTCCCGGTTCTTCACAGGCACCTTTTAACTAAGCTACAGACGAGCGTCTAACATCTGTATCAGTGTTTCCAAAAGTGGGCAGTATCACCCTTTGGGGGATGCTAGGACCATCCCAGGGGGATACAAAAACAGACACATACATTTTATCCTGGATTGGAGGCTATAGTACAAAAGTTGTTCATTATGGGGGGACTGGGGGACACTGAATATTTTTCTTTTCTTTCTGAAAAGGGGGCGGCACACCAAATAAGTTCGGGAATCTCTGATCTTTATGAAACCGAACGGTCTGCAGACTCTAGAGTAACAATGAAGGGGACAAGGAATCCACATTACCGGAAAGAAGCATCCAGAAGAGAATTCATGAGAGTGTGGCCACACTGTGAAAATGTAGCCAGTTTCTCCTAACACTTTGGGTGGTGCTTGTTAACTAGGAGCTTCATTTACTGTGGAAACTTTTGCAGACGACACAACACATTATTATTAAAAACAAACGAAACTCCCCACTTCCCTCATCGTCACATGCAACCGCAAAAGGAATGTGGACTGTGACGAGCAGAGTGGTTAATTTCTCAAGGAAACAGTCGCTCTTGTCATAAACCCCACTACTCCCCAGCCTAAGTCACTGCGGTCTTCTTCCCACACCAAAGACCGTACAATCGGCAGTTCCCCTTTCCTGCTTCAACAAGCCTGTCCTTGTTGGTTCTGGGCACATCCAGCATCACATCAGCAGTGCTTTTCCACGTTTGAGGTCAAAGTCATCATCAAAGTCACAATTAGCAGGTCATCAATCCTGAAGGCCATGAACAATTTACCAGATGATTTAACCCTAAATAACGGAGACACTGGCCTGTGCTTTCTTTTGCTTTTCTGCTGCAGCAGACTCCACAGCCCAGGCATGAGAGGAATGTCGTCCACGAGCCTTGGGCCATTTTTTACCTCCAACATTCCGGAATGACTGGGTTTTTTGTGCGTGGACCAATGAGAAACCCCAAAACTCAAACTCCCTGCCATGCATTTGATCCCACCTCATGGTGATCCCATGAGAAGATGAACACTCACCCTGAAGCTAGCCCTTCTCGGGCTCTGGAAGATGAGGCATGTTGCCAAGACCTGGGAATTCCCCACCCAGGAATCTCACTCAGTGGCTTGTCCCACCCCAGTATGCCTCGTCAGTCTTTCACAGTTGTTGGTTTTGATCCACCAACTTCTAGAAATGAGGAGCTTGTCACATGAATTAAGGTTTCTCTGGAAACGTCTGAAGACCTGGGATCACCACATCTGGATGGCTGTCTGGCAGTGGCAGGCTGGTACCCATGTCCTCCTATCTATCACAGGCCTGGCTGCTTCCTCTTTTTCTTAGCTGACAGGCATATGAGTCTGTGAACCCTGACCTGGGCTCACCTGAGGGAAAGCACTGAGGAGACGGAGCCTTGGGCCTTCAAGAACTGAAGGGACCCAAATGTCTATCAACCAATGAAAGAGTAAACAGAATGTGGAATGTCCAGGGGTATGGCCAGAGTGTTCCTTAAAGGCAAGGATGGTGAGACTTCATCTCACATACTTTCGGACATACTGCAAGCAGAGACCAGTGTTTGGGGAAGGACGTCGTCATGTTTGGTCAAGTAGCGGAGCAGCAAAAAAGAGGAAGGGCCCGGATAAGATGAGCCGACACAACAGTGGTCGCAACAAAGGGCTCAGGCATAGGAACAATTGTGAGGGCCACGCAGGACCGGGCAGCGTTTCCTTCTGTCGTGCACAGAGTCACTATGAGTAGGCACCGACTGGATGGCCTCGAACAACACGCCCATGCAGTGCAATATTATTGGTAACACACATGAATGAACTATGTACACAGTTGTAACATAGATGAATCTTGAAAACATGAGGCTACGTTGAAGAGGCCAGCCACAGAAGGCCACGTAGTGTCTGATTCCACTGACGCCAATGGTCCACAGCAGGCAAATCCATAAAAAAAGACTTGTACATGTCATGGGTTGGGGACTAGATTTGAATCAAGCGAAAGTGGTCCAGAGTTTCTTCTGTTTTAAAATTTTTTCATTATGAATTAGGTGAAGGTTTACAGGTCAGTTTTCCATTCAATAATTTATACACATTTTGCTTCACGTCATTGATTGCAATCCCATCTACCATTATCTATCCCACTTTCTCCTGGTGTTACCTATTTCCATGCCTCCTCCTCTCCTCAGTCTTGTGAGGGGAAATACTGTCCCTTTAATCACAAATGGCTGATGATCCTGAAGTGTGCACACCTCTCTGTGTATTGGTAGGCTGAAAGTTGAGCCATTGGGTGAGTTCCTTTCCAAAACTGAAGGATGACTAAAAGCTGTCGTCTTGTTGGTTTCACCAGTCCCTATCTGGTTACTAAGCCTGGCCTTTTGAATAGTTTGGGGTTTGGTTCTATATTTTTCTACCACTCTGTCCAGGAATTTCTGAGCAGGTAGTAGTGGTAGCCGGGTACCATCTGGTTCTTCTGGTTTGGGGGACACGGAGATTATATTGATGTGGTCCATTCGTCTGTTGGATGACTGATTTCCACGAATCTCCCATTTTCTTCACTCCTCTTTCCTCTGGATGAGAGACCAATGGTTGCAACTTAGATGGTGGTTCCGGGAGCGTTTAAGACTCCAACGTTTCTTTTAGAGGGGATACAATTGTTTGTAGAGATCACTGCACTTTATGAATATACTAAAATGCACTGAGCTGTATCCATTAAAATGGTGAGCTGTATGTTATAGGAATCTATCTCAGTAAACCTGTTGTTCAGGGTGGTAGTCACATAATATAGTGTCAGTTGGGGACTTGAAAGGATTAAGAGTGAAGGGGTGGATTCTAGTCTGTCAATCAGGTCATAGCCAATAAGACTTCTGTGTGGGCATGGCCTTCTCCTGAGAATTCTGGGAACTCCAGCATTTTCCTCCTTGGAGGCAGGAGACACTACTCTCTGCTCACCCCCTGAGAGACTGACAAGATACATGGCGCTATGCCCTGGGAGCTGGAGAAGCCACATAGACCTAACCTGATGCAACCAGACCTCTGGAGCCAGAGAAGCACGTGGAGACCCCTGCCAGCGCTGAGATGCTTACAACGCCACTGAATCCGCAAGACTTCCAACCCACTGGCCTGTGACTTTCTGCATTCGGCATCATTGGATGTATTTCATGAGTCTGAAGAGGATTTTATAGATTGGTTTCGGACACATGGGCTAATATCGGACTTAGGGACTTGATCTGGACTGGGCTGGGACATCTCCTCAATATTCAATTGCTCTTATATATCTCTTTCTTATATACATATGGGTGTCTATCAATTTGTTTCTCTAGTCTACCTGGACTAACACAAACAGTAAAAGAACAGAAGGAAAAGGAGTCTGAGACCAGCAGTGGACAGGTCGCTATGGACAGGAAAGGAGGGAGGCAAGGTTGGTTCAAAGAGTTTGGTCCCTGCACCTCTTGAGTACAGGGCTCTTGGAGGCTGCAGAACCTTGGACGGTGAAGGTAATGGTACTTGGAAGGAAGGGCATTAAGTCACCTATAATTAGGACCTATATCCTGGATGTTCAGAGGTGGGACAAAGGGTCAGCCGAGCAGGGCTGATTGGGCAAAAAAGACTAGTGGTAGCAGTAATGGACATTGGCCAAGAGCCATATGACTGGTGGGTGTGTCTAAGTTCGAGGATGGGGTCAGGGGTGCATGATACCAAAGAGAAGGGAAGAGGAGAGTCACCAAAACAATATGATATTAGATTTACCCGTCTTCGTGAGTAATGCCATTTCTGAAAAGTGAAAGGTCATTTCTTGTACTTAAAATGCACACACATGTACACCACACACTTTCTCTCTCAAATAAAATACAAAGCCTACTGATCAGCAGGCCAGGTATGCGGTCTACTACAGCGGCAGGGTTCTTGCTACAGATACGCTTCACTGCCATTGAGTAGCTTGTGACTCACAGTGATCCTCAAGGGCAGGGGAGAACTCCCCTACAGGTTTCGCAGACTAGATCTCTTTATGGGAACGGACACCTCTAAGAGGTGGGTGATTTCAGATTGCTGACCTTGTGGTTAACAGTGCTATAACTCACCATACGACCAGGACTCCTTATGCAGATATGTTGTTGTTAGGTGCCATTGAGCTGTGACCACACAGAGTGACCCAATGCACACAGAACAAAACACGGCACAGTCCTGACAATGGCTCTTTTGCTTGAGCCCATTGTTGCAGCCACTGTGTCAATCCATCTTGTGGAAGGCCTTCCTCTTTCACGCTGTCCACCACTTTCCCAAGCGTGATGTCCTCCTCCAGGGACTGTTCTCTCCGGACAATATGTCCAACGTACATGAGACAAAATGTACCATCTTTGCCTCTACGGACCACTGTGCCCTATTTTTTCTAAGACAGATTGATTCGTACATTTAGCAGTCCCTGGTACTTTCAACATTCTGCTCCAGGACCATACTTCAAATACATCCACTCTTCTTCCTTAGTCAGTGTTCAACTTCCACATGCAGATGAGACCATGGACAATGCCATGGCTTGGGTCAGGTGTACGTTAGTCCTCAAAGTCACATCCTTGCTTTTCAATATGTTTTTTTAATTAAATGATTTTATTGGGGGTTTGAACAACTCTTACCACAATACATACATTCATCTATTGTGTCAGGCACATTTGTACATTTGTTGCTATCATCATTCTCAAAACATTTGCTTTCTACTTGAGCCCTTGATATCAGCTCCTCATTTCCCCCCTCCCTCCTCCTTGCCCCCCTCATGAACCCTTGATAATTTAAAAATTATTATTGTTTTGTCATATCTTACACTGGCATTTCGATATTTTAAGAGGTTGTGTGCAGCAGATTGACCCAATCAATGCATCATTTGATCTTCTGAGCCCTGCTTCCATGAGCAATGACTGTGGATCCAAGCAAGATGAAATCCTTGACAACT